GTTAGTTGGGAGTGGCTGGATGGACGGTCGATCTTGAATCCCTTGATCATGAACTGTTCGATGGACGTTTGAATGTCGTAGTGATGTCGGAATTCAGTGATCTTGGGCTCGTTGGATTCGTCTCGTCGAGCCGCTCGATTCGACTATAAGTTTGTTATGTTTGGAAACCGTTTGGTAATCCGAATTGTGGTTTGCATCTTCCAACAGCGCTTCGGGTCCTTGATTTGGATCCATTTGGGCTTGGATTGGGTCGAATTTAGTGTCGTTAGGTTCGTATTTTTGAGATGCTCAGTTCAACTATAAGTTTGCTGTAATCGGAGTTCAGATGCTCCTGTTTTTTATTTTGAAAATTTCCAACTTGATTTTGCTTTGAGATTAGTGCCCGGTCAAGATAATTTTTGTAAGATGTATCAATTATGATAGATTGACTATCACATAGTAGCTTGTATTAATGCTATTTTGCATATTTTCAAAAAGAAAAAAAAGATTAATTGACCGAATAAAAAAATCGTAAGCAAATTTTATTCCAAGATGACTAAAAACTCTGCGCATTATTATTAAAATAAAAACAATATGACACTCATCCAGCAACAACATCAAGGCTGAAAAAGGAGCAACGAAGGCACTAAAATCCACCACAATCAATTTCTCTCTTAAACATAAGCCTTGTTCTTGAGAAAAATCTGGCGGAGCTCGGCCGGATCTGTCTCCCTGTGACAGTTCGCCGGCCGGTAATAGCCAGTGACAGGATCGGGAATCCAAGACATCGCCGCCTCATCTGCTGTCGCCGTTCCTGTTTTCATTACTCCCTTCCTCAACACCGTCTTCTCCTCCATCATAACCCTTCCCGCAGCCGCTGCCGCCGACGAAAACCTCCTTCCACTTAAAACAAGTCCATCGGAGAGGGCGGCGAAGAGAACCTTTCCATTGGAGAGAGCGCGAGCCATTAATTGGATAGATAGAGAACAACAGAACTGAGCGAAATTAAAAAGAGAATGAGAAGAAAAGAAGAATGAAAAACTCGTTTCCTCTTCTTCTCCTCTATTCTCTTCACCGTGACCAAAACAAGGCGACGATTTCCTTTAAATAGACCGCTTGATTAAAATAAATAAATAAATAAAATATATGGCTAATACATGGCAATGAGGAAGTGGTTTCCTGACTAGCAAACAAAGTTTGTGTTGCCGGCCTGAGTGGAGGGTGGGCCCACAAGTGTTTGTCCACTGAGAAATATCTGGCCGAAGGTGCCTACGGTGCTTCGTGAAATCTGGACCGTCCACGATTGGTGAATTTTGCGCGTGATTTTTTATAAATAGTTGTGAAAATAAGAAAAAATATCTCTCGGCATTGGTGATTCGTATTTATGCGCTGACGAAGTTGGACGTGTTGGATTATTCCGATTGGTGGAAGGTAGAAAATTACGAAACGGAAGAGATGCTGCTGACGACAGCTCTCTCTTGCTAACATCCTCGATTCTTGGCCGGAATTCTGGGCGACGGCGTTAATCACCAACTGTGGGCCCGCGCTAACAGAGGCCTCGACGAAACCATACAGCTAGGGGGCAATATGCACATGCGTTACGCGCTTGACAATGAATATGCCAAAATTTTAATTTGGTGAGGAACGACGGCAAATTTAATATTCTGCAGCAACTCAAAATTAAATATTATTATCATTTTGGGTGAGGGTTCGACCCACTAAAATCATTAAATTTATTTTCAACAAATATCGTACATATTTAAATTTAAATATAAATTATAATATATTTTTTAGCATAATTAGATCAATTTGAATATATATTCATAACATATCAAGATGAGCTACATTAATATTTTCACTGCTATACACTTTTTTTTTCTTGGGGGAAATTTGGGACTGAGCCCGTATATAAAATATCAAAGAAAAAAAGTTACAGTTAAATCGAAAAAAAAAAACAACTGTAAAGCACATATAAGTAAAGAAGAAAAAGCAACCCCAAAAACAAAACACTTAAAAAAGGCAGATTAGGGGGAAAACAACTAGGACTAAGGTGATCAAAAAGCCAACATAATACAAGTATAGCTCATCAAAATCCTTTCTTTCTTTATAGTGAGATGCATACTGTCGATTAGCTAAAATGCACAAAATTTTATGATTAAAATGTGGTCTTTTTTATTAAATTAAAATTATACATAGTTAATTTTTTATTTTATTTTATTTTTTTAATCATTTAAAATGACAATTTTTTTATTTAAAATTAATTTCATGAGGGTCTATTATTTATTCAAAATTTTGGCAGCATCTCGACGTTCACTCCCTGCAAAGGGAGGTTGGGAGGCACTTTTCTTTCAAATCTGCCCTGCTCGGTCGGATTAAAAATTTACGATCAGGAGCTTCAATTATCGGTACATGTCTTCAAATCATTCAACTTGTTGTCGTGATACGTATTAATAAAATAAGATTTAATTTAAAAAAAATCCATTTTTATTAAAAATTTGATAGTTGTCCCCTCCCCATAAAAGGGGGGTTGGGAGGCACTTTCCTTTCAAATATACCCAATCAGATAAAAGATTGTATGGTCAAGGGCTTTGGGATGATTATTAGTCCCAACAAAAGCCTTCGACAATCCCTATCGTTATACCTATTTTTAAAATTTGGTTGAAAGCAAAGAGGGATGAGAAGATAGGGTCGTGTTTATTGGCAGGCTTGAGGTAGGTTGCATATAGATTGGGGCTAGGTGGTCATTCCTCGTGGGAGTGGAGTATGGTCAAGTGCACGAAGGTGAGGCAACAGGGTGCAGACTCAGTTTGTTCACTCATGGGAGTGGAGACGAGCTGCTGGATTGCTTATACCAAGGCGGGGCAACGAAGCATGGAATCAAGCCAAGCCTAGTGGGCAATGAGCGCGGGGGTGACTTGAAGGCGATGAGTGTAGGCACGGCATCGAGTCATGCATGCAGGTGAGCGAACCTTGCAAAAGCATAGATGGGCATGCAGTCGGGCACATATTCGCGTAGGCTGAGCAGGAGGCAGGGGCGCATGAGTGAGATGAATAGGAGTCTGAGCTATTGCGTAAGTTTCCTGTGTCTGTCTCTATCGAATTGAATGGGGTGAGCAATTTTTCTGAGGGGTTTTAGTCATGTGTGTGGAGTTATGTGAGGGGCGGCTGTCATGTGCGATCACATCGTTTCGTGAAGTCTGGCCAGTCGACTAGTTGGTGGTCAACACAACTCCAATTACTTGCAATATTGAGCCATCAACAACTCTAACTATATATTTCTTCAATTGTGGATAAAGAGTATGAAATAAGGAAGTGCTCCATATCATATGATAAGAGGCTTCAAAGTCCACAATCAAAGATTTGGATTTCCATTTTGAAAACTGAAGGCATTCAAGGCCATAACGTTAGGAGTAATTTGACTGATGTTGATTTCTAGTGCTAAAGTTTTGGTTTGAACAAAATAATCAAAAAAACATTAATAAGATTTGGCTCTAATATCATGTTGAAAAAAGAGAAGATATTTATATTTTTCTTATTCAAATGGATAAAAAGATGCATAATATTTATGAAAGAAACATATCCAAATTGATCAACTTAGATCTAGAAATAACAAAGAGCACAAATTAACCATAATCAAACTTAAGGAGAAGAAAAAAACTTAATTAAATTAGATATAATCAATTACATGATGAATGCCATATTTTAAATTGATTCCACTTTGAGAAGCACATGTCTTAAGGATAACAAGGAGGTGGTGGCACTATATATATATGATGCTTTTAAATTTTATCTATTTCTCTCTATCTTTCTCATTGTGCCAGCATATATAACTTTGACAGGGATGTGTAGCATTTCTCTTTTACATTTCATATAATTTCATGCTTATTTCCTATGTATTTCCTTCAAAAGTTCTCGATAGCAATTAGATTTAATTGGTTTCTAATAAAAATGTTTGATAAGTTAAGTGTAAGCAAGCAAATCACATGTGTAGAAAATTTCACATGGAATAATTATTAATGCAACAACAAAAAAATCAAATCATAAGTGTGATGATTGATTTCGCTCTTTTTTTTTTCTCTATAAAGCATATGATGATAAAGTAAAAAACAAATGAAGGGACATTAAGGTCACAACATCTTTAATGTGAAAAATCACATTAAAGCTGGAGTTCAATTGAAAAGATTAATTATTTTATAAACTATAAGTACAAGAGTGACTCCCCTCTAAACAGATTTAAGCAATTAAATATAGATGAAGTTAGAATAATAAAAAAAGCAACACATAATACACCATTGTTGGACCTCCCGCATGTTGACAACATGGTCGATACTTGGATAGTGCAAATATCAATATGTCCAAGTAGCATCAACAAAGATTGCATGCATTACTTGTTGCAATCTTAAACATTTACATGTCTTCATATTGAGGAGTTGTGTTCGATGTTGTTATTATTGTTGTAATATTTAAATTGCGACAAGTAACTTAGTCGCTAGTTGTGTCTAGCGAAATGTCCAGCATTGCTATTATAGCAATAGGATGACAAGAGCTAAGCATTGTGTAAACCTTAGGTTATGATGGATTATGCGATTACTATCATCATAGAAACACATTCGATATTTCTATAATGATAGTTGGATAGTCATCAATGATGAGCATCAATATATATTAGGAATTTCTCTAATGTTATTTCCATCTGAATGAAAATACCTATCAATTGACTTAAAATGCATCCTAATTATAGGTTTTTTCAGAGGTATTTTGATCTTTATCTAAAATAATTTTTACATATTAGATCAATGTTTTGAACTTAACATATTATAGGCATGATATTATTATAAGTGCATCTGTTGTGATAGATTGAAGCTTTAATGAATAGATTGATGTGAATAATTTTAAAAATATCCATTATTTTATTGATGAAGACATTGAAAAATAGTTTGGGCAAATCTTTTTGAGCCAAGAATGAAAGCCATTCCTCACAGAGAAAACAAATTATTTGCAGAAACATTACAGGTGTTCTATGAGAAATCCAACCAAATCCCATTTTATATAATAACTAAAGTTCAGCTATAATTCCAATAGATCATTCAAATATTATTGAACATTCATTACAAAGCGAGCTGACACAGTCACATTACCTCTAACTTTTCAGATAGTTATTCGCATGAAACTTCGATGTTTCACTCTAATATTCATGCAATTTAACTACATTAATGGTTAAAAACTGCAAAGAAGAAAGCTTCTGAGGAAAGAGATAACTAGTTAGGGCGCAGTGTGGAGAGGACCACATCTTGCAGGGAGCTATCCCTTTGCATGGCTGCTTTGAACTCCTCGAAGGAGACTTTTCCGTCGCTATTAGCGTCCATTTGATCAAATATATCATCTAGTTTTCCGGGCTCGGTGATGTCGGCCGGAAGGCAATCTTCAGGCAACGCCTGCAGAGTTAGGTAAGTGAGTTTCAGTCTTCCTGATAGGTCATCAAGGTCAAGTAAAAGAACTCACCCTGAGCATTGATGCCAATTCCTCTCTGCTGATACAACCCGATCGATCGGCATCATACATCTATTAATGCATCAAATATAAGGACATTAGTTAAGAAGCAAGTAGGATAAATTTCTTGTAGATCTCTCACATTAAAGATTTTGATGATGGTTTTCAAGAAAAAAATAATTGGATCAATGAAATCTCAAGGTTTTAATAAATTTCAAAAAGGGTTAATTATGCATGTAACACTTAAATTTTGCATATTTATGCAAGTAACATCTAATTACTTTTATTTATAATAATATCATCTAAATCACAAAGAGCATAACAAGTTGGTTATAATATTTCATTGTTAAATAAGTTATCAACTAGCTTGACAAAAGACCAAATTATACTCTCTTCTTGTTAGTGGGCATGAAATCACACACTGACATTTCGGCACTGAGGCTTTGCTGAGGATGAAATCTTAAATAGATTAGTAGAGAGAGACAAAATTGAAAGCTGAATAGCTCTACACTTTTTCAGAAAAAAAAAAAAAAAATGAAAGTCAGAAATATTCAAAACGCAAAATGACTACAAAGACATTTGAAAACTGTTTGAAACATAATGATCCTATTAGTGAAAAAAACAGAGAATGAATCTTTGCATGACCAAATTTGAAGCATCAGGAATACAAGTGAAAATAGAGAACAATGCTTAAATCAAATTTTAAAGAAGAAATGAGCGATGACATGGTAGAATCACAATACCTGAAAGCAAAGCCTTAGTGCATGATCACCACGAGAGTTTCTGAGACTCGACAACCCACACAGGATCTCTCTCATATCAACAGTTCCATCACGGTTATTGTCAAATATATCAAATACACGAGCGGCGAGAGGGATGAGCGATTCCATGTTTATGGCTTTGAGAACTTGCTCAAACTCTTCTAGCGTGGCATTGTCTCCATTTGAACATCTGCATGGGGTAAGATTACAATTAAGAAATGGAAAGAGAATGCGAAGTAATAGTGTATACAAGTGCTTCTGAACCTGTTTGGTGATAAAGAGCGAAAAAAAACTGAAGTCAAGACTAAGGTTTCGTTTGGGACGATTTTTTTATTGCTTTTTAAAGCGGCTTTTTAGACAAAAATTAATTTTTTTGTACTAGAAACCTGCTTTAAGATAAAGCAGCAAAAAAGCAATCCCAAACGAAACTTAAATTAAGATTTTTACGGTACTTAAGAGTAACAATGCATGGAAGCATGCTCATTTTCCAATAAAACTATGACATAAAGTTCAAGCATGATAAATGAGTCTTCCAAATTCTCCTCTACTTAACTTAAAATTAATGATTCAAAGATGATTTACTTTATGACTCACATCCTCTTGAAATGCATGCGAAGATTCTCAAGTTCATCAGGTGTGAGATCATGATAGCCTAGAAGACTCCTCAATTTTTTTGTTCTCAAGAAAACTTTGCTGCTCCATACACTAGCTATTGCAGCTGCACGGAATTTTCTTCTAGCATTGAAACTTTGAAGCCTTGAGACAACTTCAGCGTCAATAAGCTCTTGCTTTGCACAATCTCCAATAACCCAAGGATGCTTCAAAAGCTGTTAGGCAGCAGATTTTCAAATAACATTCTTAAGTTGAAGCGCTAAACCAAAACCACAAAGATTTGCTGACTGTAACGATAATAGAGTTAAGAGAGTGATAATCATACATCGTCGGCAGTTGGTCTCCGATGAGGTTCGACAGCTAAAAGGCTGGAAATCAAATCCTTGGCTGAAGAAGTTATGGTCTTCCAAGTGTGCTCTTCAAAGGTGAAGTCACCCTACAATGTCACATCATCAAAATTTAATAGATGGTCGAACAATACGGTAATTGGTAGAAATATTTTTTGAAAGGTTTCTAGTACTCAAAGGAAAAGCGAGGAAGGATGAAGTAGTTTAGCAAGCTGATACATGCTTTTGTAAATCTTGAATTTTATAACCTTACAAGGCCAAGATTTCAAGCGCTCCGAAAGTTGTTAATTGGCCAAAAAAACATGCGACGGACAACAATCAAGAATAGGCAAGCAACTCAACTTACAAGGAGCTCGGGCTTATGCATAAAGAAGTTCATCAAATAACTTAATCTAATCACTTTTTCTGGTCCTTATTGAGAAAAAGAGAGAACAACTATTTCAATGAAAGTTATATCAAACTGCTTCTCGTCATGAACCAAGCACTTCACAACATTTACTCACAAATTGTCCATGAGATAACTTCAAAGACTTCCTCCTTGTAAGTAGGAGACTACTTAACTTAAAGCATCTTATGATTACAACCCATCCAAACTTAGCAATATCTCATATTAAGTATTAAAATTGGTTAGATAGTACTCCTGCAGTAAAACTTAGAATAGGATGGAAAAAGCTATGCCTAAATATAACAATGATATCAAAAAATAGGGAACAAAACACAACAAGAAACATGCAGATTTACATGAAAAGTCCTAGAACAAAAAAAAACATAAGTAGAGGAAAAATAATTCACTGTCAAAAAATGGTACCAGAGAACAATGGCAGCTGACATACAATATAATTACATAACTCTAAATAAAGGTCCACACCGTGATAGGTACCTACTAGCCCAAGCGCAATAAAATTTGGGTACCTAACTTTAACATTATATAACTTCATTAATTCCACCATAACTCAAAAATATTATGTGTTTCATTTCTCTAGCGGTGTAGATGAATTGAGCATGAAAGAAGCTATAGCCTCGTTAATTTCAGCTCATTTGCTACAACAATGTCAAGCCTTTATCCCACTACATGTTGTCTGCTACATAAATTTTGTTCTTCATTATGTCTTATTACCACTCAAATTCTCATTTAAATCTAGTAAAAAAAAAAGTCATTTCTAATACTTTCTAACCAAGTATTTATAGGTATACTTCTGCCTTTCTTAACATAGGTCAAATCTAATACATCTGCTCTCTTATTCGGGTGATCATCTGAAGGTCAACGTTTTATGTTAACAAACCATTAAAATATGACTCTCTCTAATCTTATATTCCACTAAAGCTACTCCAACCTTTTTAGCTCATTTGACAGCAAGCCAAAAAATAATATGAGCGTGTTGCATGTCGGAACATTCCTGGTGGTAGAGAGATTGAGATTTTAACGTTTTAACATTATACAAAGACCCATCACACACACAAATAAGATAAAAAATACAAGAATTGTAAGAGAAATCATAATTTTTATGTGGTAAACCTAGGAAAGAGAAAACCCACGAGCCCGACCCAATTAAAATAATTCCACTATAATTTGTTATTAATTAAAAATGATGTCCTTCCTCGAGGGAAGGCATTCATACAAAATATTTAACTTGGTTTAAGTTTGAAAATCCCTATGGAAGAAATCCAACATAATTCCTAGTGATGAAGTTGAGAGTCAGAGTTGATGTTGGATGTATGTTGGCTTGATGAGTGATTGTAGGTGATGAAGTCATTATGCATCAAAGTACCTAGGTGATAATGATTAAAATATTATAAGTTAGAGAATCGTAGTCAAGTGATGGACATCAGAGGATTATAGTCGAGTAGCGGTGATCGAAAGGATTGAAATCAAGCGAAGGAAGTCTGAAGGACCATAGTCGGGATAGAAAGATCAAAGAACTGTAGTTAGGGCGACAATGGTCAAAAGACTGTAGTCAGGCCATGGTGGTTGGAGGACTGAAGTCAACTGAAAGTGGTTGGAGGATTATAGTTGGCAATCGACGGTGGTTGGGCAATCATAGTTGTTGAGTCTAGTAATTAGGTTGTTAAGCCTAAGTGAATGTCCCAAGGCTACCAAGAGGGGGGTGAATTGGTAGTTTAGAAAATAAAGTTAAAATTTAAGACCCCTTTTTGAAAATTATTGAACCGAAATAAAATCTCTTTTAAATTTTGTAGAAAAAGGTTTTTCAATCACAGAGTTTTTAAAACTGAAATAGAAAGTGCGGAAACAAAAAAAAAGTAAAGTAAATGACACCAGATTTATAGTGGTTCGGTCTATAACCAGACCTACATCCACTCCCCAGAGGCACCCTCTGAGTATTGCACTAATACCAATAGTGACTCTCCTTTTGCACCCACAGCAAGGCGGAGAAACCTTTACAACACACTCTTTTCACCACTCCCCGGTGCGGCAGAGAACCGTCCATCCTTTTACACAAAACCCAGTGTTGGCAGAGAACCGTCGTCCTTTCACACAAAACCCAGTGTTGGCAGAGAACCGTCGTCCTTTCACACAAAACCCAGTGTTGGCAGAGAACCGTCGTCCTTTCACACCCTCCAAGTGTAGGCAGAGAACCTTCATCCTTTCACACTCTCCTAGTGTGGGCAGAGAACCCTTCGGCTGTTCACACTCTCCAAGTGTGGGCAGAGAACCCTTCGGCTGTTCACACTCTCCAAGTGTCGGCAGAGAACCGGATCTCCTTGACAGATCTTCTCACAAGAATCTAGAAGGAAGAAGGAAAAGAGTGAAGTAATCCCAATTCACAAGTAGAGACTCTTACCTTTAAAATCTAAGTGAAGCCTTCTCGCTCCAGTGGTAGGAATCCTCCCTTGAATGCTCTCTTCAACTCTCTCCTTGGCTATTATCTCAAGAGGAACAAAGATCAAATGAAAAAAAGATTGGGTGGCAGTCTAATTTGGACTATTTATATAAAAGACAAGTGAAACCGCCCAAAAACTGCAAATTTTCAATTCTGTACGCAGTGGATCGTCCTGTACGATCATGGATCGTCCTGTACGATTTTACTTAAACGATCTGAAACGACCCAATTTGTATATGTGTACGAACTGACTTCGTACAGCTGATCGTCCTGTACGAACATGGTTCGTCCAGTACGAACGGTTATTACAAGGTCGGTTCTAGAAACTGCTGAAAACTGTTCTAAGTCGGTTTATCGTTTGAACGAAAATGTGATCATCTGGACGAAAATTTTCCATAGAACCGATCGTCCTGGACGATTATTTATTTCGTCTGGACGAAAATTTTCCAGAGAACTAATCGCCTCGGACGATAATTTGTTTTCGTCTGAACGAAAAATTTCCAGAGAACTGATCGTCCTGTACGATATTTATTTTCGTCTGGACGAAAATTTTCCAGAGCACTGGTCGCCTCGTACGATGGTAAAATTCGTCTGGACAAAAATTTTGCAGTGAACCCATCGCCTGGGACGATGATAAATTTCGTCCTGGACGAATAGGACTTAGAAAAATTTTTCAAAGCAAGTTCCTATTCGTTCCAAGTGCTCTATAGGAGATAACTGACAGATCGTCCAGTACGATAAATATCGTCCTGTACGATCAGTATAGAATTTCAAGATCTCCTTATTTGTGTGTGTGAGATTTTATTCACTCAATTACAATCACTCCCTTTCAAAATTAATTCAAAGAAAAGACAAACATCAATTAAACAAAATATCTCATGTTGAATTTGAATTGAAGTTTTCGTAGTCTGGAGTCTGATTTTCCTGAAATGTTAGTACACACAAGAGCAAGTGCAAATCTTCTGAAATTGTTAGGAGATAACTATACATTTGAACAATAATGTTTGGAATCATCAAAACTACATAAGTTGCATAAATATAACTCATTCAAATAGCAACTATTCAAACAATAAGAAGGAACGTAGTCGACAGGCGACGGAGGTCGGAAGGATCGTTGTCTAGCGATAGAGGCTAAAAAGATCATAGTAGGTGGGAGATGGAGAATAGAAGGACCTCTGACCGACAGAAGTCCAACATCGGGCAGAAATCTGATGCAGGCAGAAGTCTTGTATCGGGTAGAAGTCTGACGAAAGTTTGGTGACTGGTAAAAGTCTAATGAGGGTAAACGTCTGGCGTCAGGTAGAAGTCTGGCAACGGACAGATGTCCAGTGCCAAATAGAAGTCCGACGACTGGTAAAAGTCCAGAGACGGGTGGAAGTCCGACTTCAGGTCGAAGTCCAACAATGGAAAAAACTCTGGCGACGGGCAGAAATTCGATGTCGGGTACAAGTACAAAAATGGACAAAAATCTGACGATGGGTGAAAGTTTTGTGTCGGGTAGAAGTCCGACAAAAGTGCTGCGTTGGGCAGATATCTGGAGACGGGCAAAAGTTTTTCATCAAGTAGAATTCTAATGAAAGTTCAGCGACGGGTAGAAGTTCAGAGATGATTTGATGTCCGGTGATGGGCGGATGTCCAGCGTTAGGTCAAAATCCAACGACAAGTTGAAGTCCGTCGTTTGGTGGAATTCCGGTGATGGATAAAAGTCTAGTGACTGGTGAAAGTTCGTCGTCGAGTAGAAATATGGCGACGGATGGAAGTTTGACTTTAGGTAAAAATCTAGCGACCGACCAAAGACTGGAGTTAGTTGGTGGCTGGGAGAAAATCCGGCGTCAGTTGGTGGTCAGGAAAAAAATTGACTTTCATCAGTAGATGGGTGAAAGTTTAGTGTCAGTAGATGGCCAGGTTGAAGTCTAGTGGTGATCGAGGAGGAGTCTGGTGGAAATAAGACTCTTCCTTCTCTTCCCTCTCTTCTTGCTTGGGTCCCTTCTTTCCTCCCCCTTGCTTGGGTCCCCTTCTCATGAGAAATAAAGTGTTGATTTATAGTTTTCTGGGAGTGGCATGACCAGTAAATAGGAGGAAAATCAATTGTAAATTGGGAGTTATTTGAATAGACAGCCGATGTTGAATCCCTCTTTCATGGACCGTTTACCAGACATTTGACTGTCTTAATGATATCAGAGTTTGATAATCTTGGGATCATTAGATTAGTTTGTTGAGCTGCTCGATTCGACTATAACCATGTCATG